CCTGATACTGGGAAAGACTGAGGGCAGAAAGAGAAGGGGATGACAGAGGATGGGATGGCTGGATGGCATCACCGACTCCACGGACGTGGGTTTGGGTGGACTCTGGGAGTTGGTGATGGACAGGGAGGCCTGGCGTGCTGTGGTTCATGGGGTCGCAAAGAGTCAGACATGACTGAGCGACTGAACTGAAGACAGCATATTAAAAAGCAGAGACATTACTTTGCCAACAAAGTTCCATCCAGTCAAAGCTGTGGTTTTTCCAGTAGTCATGTATGAATGTGAGAGCTGAACTATAAAAAAGGCTGAGCACCGAAGAATTGATGCTTTTGAACTGTGGTGTTGAAGAGTCTTGAGAGTCCCTTGAACTGAAAGGAACTCCAACCAGTCAATTCTAAAGGAAATCAGTCCTGAATGTTCATTGGAAGGACTGATGCTGAAGCTGAGACTCCAATACGTTGGCCACCTGATGCGAAGAACTGACTCATCTGAAAAGACCCTGATGCTAGAAAGATTGAAAGTGGGAGGAGAAGGATGACAGTAGATAAGACAGTTGGATGGCATCACCAACTCAATGGACGTGCGTTTGAGTAAACTCCAGGAGTTGGTGATGGACAGAGAGGCCTGGTTTGCTGAGGTCCGTGGGGTCGCAGAGTTGGACACAACTCACTGACCGAACTGAACTGAAGTCCAATATTGTGCAAGTCATTCAAGGAAATCAATTATCTAGGTACCAGAGACGGCCATTTCCACGGAGAGGTTAATCCTAACACACAAACTACTTAAGAATTATTCATTTTCATTTTAGCTCATAGGGAAAAATACATCTTCCTTCATGGTCACTGTTCACCCTTTCTCATAAACTAAGGGGGGAGGGGTAAACTGATAAGAGCAGAGTATTACTGGCCATTTATCCACTGATCAAATAAAAGAAAAAACAAGTACAGTATAGTTATTATCTTCGGTTGATGGTTTTTCATTTTTATGTGCTATAACCATTATTCACTAGGGTGACGAGACCAGTTGGTGACAAGATCAGTTGGCTAAAGTAACCACTGGCTAAACCTTTTTTTAAGAGTGACATCTGAAAAAGTCAAAAGCTAGATAAAATAAACTAGACACATTAAAGGAGACAGAATAAATCTCAACCGCTGTTTCTGATTACAAGCCAAATGTATATGAATCTTAATTCAGAGGCATAAAGGCAGAGGTTTCTGAAGTCAGAAGATGACAAATCAAAATACTTCCCAGCACAGTATTTTCTTGACGGAGTTATTATAACTTAACATTGTATAGGAAGTAGTGACTAAAACCATCCCAAATGAAAAGAAATACAAGAAGGTTGTCTGAGGAGGTTTTACAAATAGCTAAGGAAAGAGAAGTGAAAAGCAAGGTCGAAAGGGAAAGTTATATCCAACTGAACACAGAGTTTCATAGAATAGCAAAGAGAGATAAGGAGGCTTTCTTAAATGAACACTGCAAAGAAGTAGAGAAAAACAATAGAATGGGAAAGACCAGAGATCTCATCAAGAAAATGAAGAGATCAAGGGAACATTTCAAACAAAGATGGTACAATAAAGGACAGAAATGGCAAGGACAACAGAAGCAGAGTAAATTAAGAAGCGGTGGAAAGAATACACAGAAGAACTATACCAAAAATGTCCTGCTGATCTGGATAACCATGATGGTATGGACACTCACCCAGAGCCAGATACCCTGGAATGTGAAGTTAAGTGGGCCTAGGAAGCATTACTACAAACATATTCCAGCAGAACTATTTCAAATCCTGAAAGATGATGCTGTTAAAGTGCTGCACTAAATATGACAGCAAATTTGGAAAACTCAGCAGTGGCCCCAGGACTGGAAAAGAACAGTTTTCATTCCAATTCCAATCAAAGGCAATGCCAAAGAATGTTCAAACCATCATACAATTGTGCTCATTTCACATGCTAGTGAGGTTATTCTCAAAATAATTCAAGCTAGGCTTCAGTGGTATGTGAGCCAATAACTTCCAGATGTATAAGCTAGGTTTAGAAAAGGCAGAGGAACCAGAGATCAAATTGCCAACATTCACTGGATCATAGAAAAAGCAAGAGAATTCCAGAAAAACATATACTTCTGATTCATTGACTACATTAAAGCCTTTGTGTGGATCACAACAAACTGCGGAAAATCGTTATAGAGATGGGAATACCAGAACACCTTACCTGTCTCCTGACAGGTTTACCTGTTGTAAAGAAGGTAAACCTGTTGTCAAGAAGTAACCATTAGAACCTTACATGGAACAATGGGCTGGTTCAAAATTGGGAAAGGAGTATGACAAGGCTGTATATTGTTAATTTAACTTATATGCAGAATATATCATGCAAAACGCTGGACTGGATCAATCACAAACTAAAATCAAGATTGCAGGGAGAAATATTAACCTCAGATATGCAGATGGTACCACCCCAATGGCTGAAAGCGAAGAGGAACTAGAGACTCTTGATGAGAGGTAAAGAGAAGAGTGAAAGAGCTGGCTTAAAACTCAACATTCAAAAAACTAAAAGATTATATGAAGATTTGTAACTTCTCTATTAACTTTTTATTTTAGAAATAATAAAGAAACTGGGGGGGGGGGGGCACGGGGGGAAACAACTAAGATCATGGCATCTAACCCCATCACTTCATGGCAAATAGAAAGGGAAGCAGTGACAGATTTTACTTTCTTAGCCTCCAAAATCACTATGGACAGCAGCCATGAAATTAAAAATGCTTGCTCCTTGGAAGGAAAGCTATGAGAAACCTAGACAGTGTATTCAAAAGCAAAGATATCACTTTGCCGAGAAAGGTCTGTATAGTCGAAGCTATGGTTTATCCAGTAGTCATGTATGGATGTGAGAGTTGGACCATAAAGAAGGTTGAGTGCCAAAGAACTGATGCTTTTGAACTGTGGTGTTGGAGAAGACTCTTGAGAGTCCCTTGGACTTCAAGGAGATCAAACCAGTCAATTCTAAAGGAAATCAAGCCTGAATATTCACTAGAAGTACTAACGCTAAAGCTGAAGCTCCAGTACTTGGCTACCTGACGTGAAGAGCCAGCTCACTGGAAAAGACCCTGTTTCTAGGAAAGATTGAAGACATCAGAAGTGGGCAGAGGATGAGATGGTTAAGTAGTATCACTGACTCAACGGACATGAATTTGAACAAACTCTGGGAGGTGGTGAAGGACAGGGAAGTCTGGTATGTTGCAGTCCATGGGTCGAACACATTGTAGTGACAAAACAATACACCACCACCACCAAAGATCTGATGATCATATGTAAATCATACATACAGAACCAGAAACTGGACTTATCAGTAACCCGAAAGATGATCAATCAGCCTCAGTATTAATCCATAGTCAGAAGAAACAAATTCACATTCAGAAGAGAACAATGTAGGAATTAGCACATCAAATTAATTTACCACAGGATATCCTTACAGTGACTGGAAAATGTATCTAGAGGAGAGCTCAAGAGTATTCATACTCTTTTTCTGTATGAGTATCAATCTGACTTGTTTGAATTAGTAGTTGGTTGAATACAGAATTACAGTAATGTTAAGTAGATCGACTTTAGAAATGTTTCTTCTAGGCCATAAAGAGGCCTAATAAACACTCCTTCACCGTAGCAGCAAACATATTTCATGACAGCACTGCTCATTTCCCAGATTCTCCATCTCTTGAGTCAAAATTTACTTCTCTTAATCTTTTTGCTATCAATCATTGTATTTCCGTAGATTGGTATTAACACCGACTAAGCCATATCAAGCTGTTACTCCCATTCTTCCATTGTGTCCTGCCCAACTACTAGAAGGCAAACTCATTTCTTAATCACAAGCTCTTAAATCATTCCTGTGACAGCCTCATGTATCAGCTACAAAGTAGTTTGGGAGTTTTTCTGTCAATACTGAAGTTTAATTCTGAACACAATATAAGCACTACAAAAACCCAACTGGGTATAACTCAATACTGCAAAAATGTGAACAGACTTTGGTTCAAAGCAAATTGCTAAAAACTAACTACTGAAAAAAACTATGGCTGGCTCATATAAGAGTATATAGATAGTTTTAAATACTAAGACAACTATTTAAAAAGAATCCTATATCTGCATAATGCTTTATAAAGTGCTTTCCTGCCCATTATAAAATTTAGTTCTCATAACCACCACATATTTAAACTGGAAGTCTCCAAAAAGGATACTTTTGAAAGAGAGTACAAGGAATGATAGAAAATTTAAACTTTTAAAAGCCAATTACACCTCCTACTGACATTTTACAGTTTATTTATACACATATTTTTTGCTCTGAAATTAGAAAACATATTGACTATTTACAAAGCAAACACAAATTCCTTCTCTCATAAAATATATTATGTACTCTTAGGTCATAAATGTATTTAAGGTTATTTAAATGAGCCTTGAGAACTATTACTCAGATACGAATAATTCCTTTTAAAAATGATGAAAAACTGAAAAGCAAACACCTAGGCTTTGGTGTCTAACAAATTCGTTTCCAGATCCCCTGTACTAAATACTTCTCCAGGTCCTTTGTACATTTATGCCCCATTATAAACTGTTCTATGTAAAATTACATCATTTATGTATACCCTAGCACAAATAAATTTAAGTGAATAAATCCACTCAAGGATTTTAAGGCTAATACCCAATTGTGAAATAAAAGACAAAAATCATAGTGCAATGGAACCCAGATATTAAGTTGGTGAGGGGCATTTTACAGAGTCCATGAAATCATAACACATATACCTGATTATGTAAAATGTCAGTTCTTATCTAATGAGTTTTATCCCACTGATGCCCAGTAGGTACATGAAGCAAAATAAACAAAGCAGTTATAGATCAACATAATAAAAATAAACTTAACATCAAAAAGTACATCTTTTTCTGTGGTTTAGAAATTTTCCTAAATGAAAATACAACATGAATATATACCAATATTTGAAACAGAAAATTAGAAAGTTCTTACCTTACTACATCATCAATATTGTTCCTGTATACGCCTTCAAGTCTTTCTGCAGGAAACCCCATAGCAATAATGTTTGGATAAATATCTGAGCGCTTAAGTTAAGGAAATATGCAACAATGCAAACCACATGTACACATTTTAAAACATTAGCTGACTGAAATATACAATGCAAACTACATGTAAATGTTTTAAAACATTAGCTGATTATGAAAAGTTTTCCCCACTACAAACCATGTTAATAATAAGGCTGTCATATGTATTTACTTATAAGCCATCATGTGTAATTAAGAAATACAGGTAAATACATTGACCCCAAAAATACCAATAGCAACCCACTCCAGTATTCTGGCCTGGAAAATCCCATGGATGGAGGAGGCTGGTGGTCTACGGTCCATGGGGTCACAAAGAGTCGGACATGACTGAGCAACTAACACACAATCAATCATATGACAGTGATTTTTAAATTCTACTCAGTATGTTTAGAATGCATCTAAGGTAAAAGGTAACTTTCATATTTACAATACTAAAATATACAGACAAAAATCCAAAAATTAAAATAAAAACAAGAAACAGCTGCACAATTTCTCATTTTTCAGAGAAAAGTAGATACAGTTAAGAGTTAGAAAATTAGATTTAAGAACAGGTTATTCCTCTAATCAGATGCATAAATTGGACAACTCACCTAGACTTCAATTTCCTATTCTACATGGTGAGGAGGTTGAGAAAACCACAGTGATGTATCTGAACCCTTGGTATTGATGATGATAATACTGAACTGAGGTAGAAACTTAATATCATATCCAAACAAGGTAATCAATACTTAGCGTGCCCATTCTATTAACTTATATACAACAGCTGCATAAAACAAACTTCTATACTCAAGAAAAATTTATATAAAACTATAAAGCAGCACAGATTATCCACATATCTGAGTACTTTGTCCATCAGACTGGTTCTCATTTCTTGAGCTCCATCAATCTCATGATTTTCTGACACAGATGTTTCAAACCAGCCAATCTTAACTGCTTTAAACCACTCAAGACTATCTCCAAAACTATATGTTCACATATTGGACCCATTTATCTTCCAAATACAATACAAAATTCATCAAATCCAGTGCCTTTCTAGAGATTTTTTTAATTCCTGCTGCATTCACATTAGTCAGCTTATTTCAGTGTTATTTTCAATCCAAAATAACTAAATTACTAAAACCTTTCATTTTGATATTATAATTTAAGAAAAGATTACCTATTTACTATATGTTCTATATAATTATTAGTACTGCTTGGACAGATCTACAAAATATTTTAAAGAAAACAATGTGCATAACGGTATATAGTATGCTATGTTTGTATAAAGAAATACTTTATAAATTAATTTTTTACACATATATTTGCCTGAATTGGAATGCTCCAACACACATACAGATAATTGAGAGACTAATAAAAATGGTTGCTTCATAGAGAAAAGGAGGGCAAGGAGGCAAGCACAACACTGAAACAAGTCTGATTAAATATCAAATTGGTAACCAGGAGAAAGGATTTATTTCAAGGGTTATCTAGACACTGTAATTTTACTGTACTTCTGGGCAGGAACTTTTCTAAGAAAAAAGAGCTACAAAGAAATTTTAAACTTTTCTAGTAATTTCTAATGACATCAGTATTAATATCTTTAAACTTTTTCTTTATATTATAGGAAAAAATCAATGATGTTATGTTAATGACTTGAAGGTTTGTGATTATCACTGTAAGAGAAAAGAGATAACATTATAAAATCAAGAAATCAAGTAATAACTGAAAATATTAGTATGAACTCATGCTTGCAGACATTTATGTTGTTTAGGTCTTTCCAAAGAAACAGCCTAAAAGTATGTCACCTGAGCAGCAGTAAACACTTCTAGAACCCTGATTTCATCTTTAATATCATACTACACTACTGCTGCTGCTGCTAAGTCGCATCAGTCATGTCCAACTCTGTGTGACCCCATAGACGGCAGCCCACCAGGCTCCCGTCCCTGGGATTCTCCAGGCAAGAATACTGGAGTGGGCTGCCATTTCCTTCTCCAGTGTATGAAAGTGAAAAGTGAAAGTGAAGTCACTCAGTCGTGTCTGACTCTTCGTGACCCCATGGACTGCAGCCTACCAGGCTCCTCTGTCCACGGGACTTTCCAGGAAAGAGGACTGGAGTGGGGTGCCACTGCCTTCTCCTCATACTACACTAAAAGGTATCAACTCCTTGAAAAAACAGTTGATGTCAGATCTGGAACAGGGAAGGTACAGAAGGTATCTTTCTGTGCCAGAAAGCAAGGAAAGCATACATACATTAGTGGCCTATATCAAACATACACAGAAGCTGGCATGAAGAGTGGCCAAATTCGTGACAAACTGAGCATCAGAGAAAAACTCTTAAGTGGGAGTAAATCAAAGAATCGCGAATAAAACGGAAATAAATCCCCGAGTCTATAGAGATACTCAATACAGAAAAAGTTATAGCAAAACAAAAAATTATTTTCACTTTTAAGCTTTGATAAGTGTCTACTAGAAGTTATTTTCTTTACTTTGAAATTGGTAAAGGGAGAGATAAAGGATTTATCCTACTTTTCCTTTAGGAACTGTATTTCAGGGCAACTCAATAGCTCCATTTCATAAAGTAAACAACAGAAAACACCAGTTAATAAAAATAAAAATTTTAGAAAAATCAATTGGAATCAGAAAAATCAAACTTTGAAAGCCCTAATAAAATTACTGACTTAGGCAAGGATCAACAAATGGTACTAAATCAATAGGTGAGTGGATAATAAGGAACTGAACTTTCTAACAGAGCCGAAGTAATACCACACAATATATCTTCTAATGTAAGAAAACACCACATAATGTATCTTCTAATGTAAGAAGACAAACATAATTGAATAACACACAGAAAAGACTGTCATCACCCAATTTCAGTGGTCAATCTCAGCATTATCAAGCAAGTTAAGTAGAGATCACATAACTTTTGATGTGACGCAATAGGAAGGACACAGCATCATCTATGAGAGCCAAATTTTCTTCAATCAGAGAATCCATGAAGCACTTACATATAAATTTTAACTTACCAGATATGAGATAGAACAAGCTAAATGACATTATGTGTATAAACTGGACAATTCAGAAAGTCTATAGGACATGACCCAGTATCTTTCAAATTATCTTTTTTAAAAAAAATCCAAGTATGATTTCAAAGCTGAAGAGGGGAGAAATGGGTAGCTGTCCTTGATTTATAAAGACTTAGGGTTCTAAAAGCCAAGTTCACTGGTACAATCCTGTTCTGGTTATTGTTTCAGATGTTTCAGACCAACCAGCCACTAAGGATATTTTTGAACCAACTAGAGAAATTTTAAATATGATCTAAGTATTGGCTGAGATGAAAATTTACAGAAATGGATAAGCAGACATTACTTACTGGAAAAAAAAAAGGTATCAAAAGAGAAAGTACAATGTGATACTATTTTAATAAAAGAAAACATATACACCATACCAGTATAATTAAAATATGTAGACAGAAAGATTACAAAGTACTAGATTAAAATACTAAAGATTAAAGTACAAAGTACAAAGATTAAAGTACTAAAGGTAATAATATCTAGGTAGTAGGAATATAATTTTTTCTCATTTTTGCTTGTTTTAATATGATCACCTATATTGTTTGTGTAACAGGTTTAAAAAAAAAATTGTTTTATAATCTAATTATCTCCAAATCTATTTCCTAAGTGTCTTAACAAAATATTGTCTTGCCCTGTATGACTTACAGTTTTGTATGTAGTTTTTTAAAAAGCTGAATTTCTTTAAAAAATAATAATAATAAAAGTATATAGGCCATGAATAATTTTTGTCACTTTAAGAATACATAAATTCACCCTCAACCTCAAAGGGTTCCATTAGGATCATCATTTTTAACATCACAAATATTAGCTATCATCTATTATTCTCATATAAGAAAGCAGCCCCACCTAAAAATCTAATTCCTAATTACCAAAATGTTTTAGGTATCCACCCACCAAAAAAAAAAAAAAAATGAAGAGACAAGAGGCTCAAATCAAGCCTGAAGCACTACAATTCCTGAATATGTATAATCTTTACTTTTTAACTGTCTTATAGAATACAAACATAAGAAAATGGAAATTAAGAGAAAAAAAATGAGGCAGCAGTAGGGAACCCAAAGCAGTGGCAACTACCACAAATCTGGAATTTCTAACTAAATAATTATAAATACATTTTACTAAAAATAAACTGAGATTATGCCAGGGTTTTCTGAGCAATACAACAGAAATTTTTTATGTAAAAAAATTTTATTACTACTAACAAACTTACCTAACCATTAATTTCAGTGGGAATGCTAGTAAGATTCCAGCCTTACAGGAAAGCATATAAGTGGGAGAAGGGATAAATCAGGAATTTCGGATTTATACATACACACTACTATATACAAAATAGATAACCAACAAGGACCTACTGTACAGCACAGGGAGTCATATTCAGTATCCTGAATAACCTATAATGGAAAAGAACCTGAAAAAGAATATATATATGTACATACATAACTGAATTACTCTGCTGTACTCCTGAAACACTGTAAACCAACTGCACTTCAATAAATTTTTTTAAAAGAACAGAAATATAAAGCCCCTTGAAATGCAGTCATTTTAACAAAGACTAAATTTAGATTTATCCTTGTACTATGAATATTAACAAATAAAGTAAATAAGGTTGCAAAGGGCTTGGTTAACTTACTTAAGAAAAATAGTTGTCAGTAACTACACATGGATGGGGATACTCATCGGCTCCTCCTTTACTCAATTATCCAAACAGACACTGAACATTCACATACTGAACATTGTACACAGGACACTGAGAACATGTCTAAGTAAGCAAAGACTACCACACTCTAGGAGTTCCTATTCTATCAAGGAAGACAGACACACAAACCTACAACTACACCAAAGGCCCCATTATATATACGTAAGATCAAGATGTTTTAAGAGCAAGAGAAAGGATTAATTCTGCAGAGGTAGAGATAAAGTAGGGGATATGTTAGAAATTACAAAGT